GCTGGCGAGCGTGGTGTCCGACACCGTGGAGGACGAGAAGGAGCTGCGCGTGCTGTACGTCAACTCCGAGGACGATGAGGAGCTGGAGGACGCGATGTTGGCCGGCGGGAGGCGTGAGCTCAACAGGAAGGACCCAAAGTGGACCAGCCGGGAGGGGCTCGCGAAGATCGACGCCGGCATTGGCAAGGAGGTGGACAACCTGTTCAACAAGAAGCAGGCGCTGGCGCCTGCGTCTCGGGTCGAGTCGGATGAGATCCGACGGAACAGTCCAGAGCGCATCGTCGGCAGCCGGATGATCCTGACGAGTAAGATCGACGATTCTGAGATGGAGGTGGTCAAGGCGCGCCTGTGCAGTCAGGGCTACATGGATCCCGACCTGATGCAGCTCGTGCGCGAGAACAAGACCTCCTCCCCGACCCTATCACAGAACGGGAAGGTCGTGGCCTACCAGCTGTTGGCTTCTCACGGCTTCCAGGTTCAGATCGGGGACGTTGAGGGGGCCTTCCTCGAGGCGGACCCCATCAAGCGCAAGAATGGGGACCTGTACCTCAAGCAACCGCGCGGAGGCCTTCCCGGCTTGCACCCCGACCAGCTGCTGAAGGTCATCAGGCCGATCTACGGGTTCAACGACGCCCCGGCTCAGTGGTGGGGCAAATTCAGGGACACCGTCCTGGACTGGAAGCCGAGCGACGGGTGCGAGGGCTGGCGCCAGTCCAAGCTCGACCCGTGCCTGTTCTTCCTGTTCGAGGGTCGGCATCTGCAGGGACTGATATCGACGCACGTCGATGACATACTGACTGGAGGAAAAGGGAAAAAGTACAACGCTTTCATCAGATTTCTGCGCATGAGGTTCCCTTTTCCCAAGTGGAAGGTCAACGAGGGGAAGTTCTGTGGGTCATATCTTGTCCAGAATCCCGTGACCATGGAGATAACCGTGTCTCAGAAGGAGTTCGCTGAGTCGATGAAGCCCGCTGGTGTGAGACCCCGAGCGCCCCCGGAGACCCCGGCTACCGAGAAGGAAATCGCGAACTTCCGCGCGATGCTCGGTAGTGGCAACTGGTTAGCTCGAGAGTCCAGGCCAGATCTAGCAGTCCAGGTCTCGATGAGCCAGCAGTGCATGCCCAGGCCGACGGTGGGGGAGGTGAGACACGGGAACACGATCGTGAGGAGGGCAAAACAGTTCTCGAACCTGTCCTGGAAGATCAAACCGATTCCGATCGAACGTCTCCGGGTCATCATGCACGCCGACGCCTCGAACCAGAACGCCTCGAAATCCGGGACCCAGGCAGGTTACGTCATCGCTGCGACCGACGAGAACATGATCCGAAACGAGTTGAGCCCCTGGAGCCCGCTGGTCTGGAAAAGCTATCGCCTTTGTCGAGTTACATCGTCGACTCTCGCCGCGGAGACTCAGGCCCAGATGGACGGCCTAGGTCATCTCGAGTGGATCTCCTGCCTGCTCCTCGAGGGCAGCGATGGAAAATTCTGCCTGCGTCGTCGATCTGAGTGTCTTCCGAAGTTGGCTCCCATTGCGGTCACGGACTGTAAGTCGTTGTACGATCACATCGTCGGCTGTGGGAGTGCGGGGTCATGTTCGGACAAGCGAGTGGCGGTCGATCTAGTCATCACTAAGGAGAGCGTGAAACGTCTAGGTGTGAGCTATCGGTGGGTACCATCAGCCCTTCAGCTAGCAGATATATTGACTAAAGACAAAGCCGAGCCAGCAGATATGTTGAGAGCCACAATGACAAGCGGTAAATATCAGTTAGCCGACGAGCCAGCCGTCATGGCAGCAGCAGCCCAAGAGCGTGTCCGTCGTCAGCTTCTTTCGGCTGGCAGCAGGAAGGATCGGCCCAGTCGCCAGCCGACGCCACCGGCGCCCGGCCATGGTCAAATTCGAGAGCTGCCTGACGGAGGACGGAGTCAGGAGCCTGTTCGAGAGCATCCAGGCGGAGCCAGTCCGCCACTCGGGGACGACGTGCAAGGTCGTGACCAACATGCAGATCCTGGGAGATCCAGACAGCCGCCAGCACCGCAATCGTGTGACGTTGACGTGGAGCAAGGGGACTGGAAACATCGCCATCAGAACGGCGGCCATCATCGAGGACTCGGCGCTGCTGTACATGCAGCACCTGGACAGCGCCTACCTCGCGGTGCTGGACGGCAAGGGCCCGGAGGTGCTCGAGGGCATGGAGTCAGTCATGGAAAGCCTACGGGTACCGGCGCAGCACTCATACGAGGGCGTGCCAGGACAGTCAGATTCGGACGCGTGGAGCGTCATTTCTACGAAGCTCCCCGAGGACAGGGAGTTCGTCCAGGCGATCGAGAACCTGTGCGAGTGGGGGAACCAGGAGCTGGCGGACTACGACGACCAGCGCCTGAAGTTCATCAAGATGATGATCCGTGAGTTCAAGGCGTCCCGAGACTTTCTTCTCACGACGGTTGACGAGGGCATGGAGGACGGGGAGGCCGAGCAGCCGACGCCGACCGCTGCCACTCCCTCCTCGTCTCCTCCGAGCTCGAGGAGCCGGATGCCGCCCCGGGTGCCGTGAGCTTGAGAGTTTTGCGTTTAGGGTGTGCAGCCTCAATGACGCACAATTTTTGTTTTTAGTCAGTGCTGATCTCAGGGCCCCGGGGAGGCCCCTGGTGTGTATGTTACTGTCGTGCATGTGCGTGTTGATGCTGCAGCATTTTGGCTTGCCACAGGTGTGGAAAAGAGGGAGCGGGCGCTCCCTCCTCGGAGCCCAATCTGCAATAGGTGAGCGTTTTCTTATTCGGCGTTTCGACAGCGGGCGGAGGGCGGGGGAGGGGGGGGGTCTGGCTCCAGACCTCTACTTAGTGCGACGGTTTGCAACAGTGCGTCGTACGGGGTGCGACTGTTTGCAACAGTGCACCGTACGGGGGAGACTCCACCTGCTTGAAACAGGCGCCAAAGACAGCCAAGATCTGCCGCATCGGGGGAGGGTGCGAAGGTCCGCGCCGATCGGCAGAACAATGACTGAGAAAACAACGACCGGAATGATCGCAACAACTTCGGCCGTCTCGGAGACAGGAGCCCTGAGCTGTTCTGGAGCCACCATCCCTTCATCTGGAGGTCGGAAAGGGGTGTGGCACAAAGGGGAATGGTGCCAATCGTGGAAATGGCGATGCTATCTGCGATAAATAACATCACCAGAGTCCCCTTTTCGTAAAATTAGCACCACACCGCTTTGTACCATACCCCTTTCCTACCTCCAGACTTCAGGAGCCTTCGGGGCCCCTGCGGCCGGGGCTCGCCCTTCCAAAAATATTCGCCGACAATCGCCCGGCCCGGGGCCAAAAGGCGTGGGAGACGCTTGGCTGTCCCCCCATCTCTCCTTCGTTCCCCCTCCCCCCCAGGTCCACAGTCTCATTTAAAGGGGGGTCCCCGAAGAACTCGCCAAGGCACGTCCGGGGCCATCGCAGCCTCGAAATCCATCACCCGTGGCCTCCGAGATGCCCAAGATGTCTCACAAGACGGCCTCCAAGACGCCAGAGAGGCCTCAAGAATACCCAGGATGGCCTCAAGGCGTCCCAAGAGGCCCCCAGGACGGCCCAAGGGCCCCTCGGGCAAAATCAATCCGCCGACCCCCGCTTGGCATGGGCGAGAAGGCGTGTGAGATAATTGGCTGCCCCCCTCACCCTTTCCCCCTCCCCTGGGGCCAGAACTCAAATTGGAGGGGGGCGGGGAGCGGGGGGGGCAGGGGCGAAGGAGGAGGGGGAGGAGGAGGAGGAGGAGGAGGAGGAGGAGGAGGAGGAGGGGAGGTAGGAGGAGGAGGAGGAGGTAGGAGGGCAAGTAGGGGGGGAGGGATGGGTAGGGCGTGGAGGAGAGGAGCGGGAGGGGGAGGAGGAGGGTGGGTAGGGGCAGGGAGGGAAGGATGTGGAGGGTAGGGAGGGAGGGGCGAGAGGAAGAGGAGGACACATCGGCCACAGGTGCACACAAAAAGGCAACACGACGGGATGCGGCCAAAAAAACGCAAACGAAAAAACGCAAGCCGCACAGATCCTCTCACTGGGGGCTGGTGGACTGGCATGGGCCTCTTGAGCAGGAGGGATGCTGGAGCCACTCGCGGATGTTCCTTCTGAAGGGGACCCAGGGACACACCAAGAAATAGACATAACGTCCCAGGATTCCCCATATATGCTGCCACGTGTTCTGGAGTTCTGTTTTACTCCCCCCCCAGCTCCCATATGTTCCCATATGTTCCTGGGAGTCGCCGATGATTTGTGGCTGCGTGTCGTTTCCCCTCCTGGAACCTCTAAACTTCGAGCCTGCATGGCCATGGAGGAAGACGACGATTTATTATGTGCTTCTCCGATGGGACGCCGAGCGGTCCAGCTGCGGAAGGGGCTCACACCCACACGCCCTCGCTCGATTCGGCGAAGAAAGACGACGGCGACGGAGAGGTGGGGAGGGACGAAGACGACCGCGAAGAGGGTGAGGAGACGGAGAAGGGAGGCCCCACCCGTGTCGCAAAGCGGCAGCACTACGTCCACACGCTCTCACTCGAAACGGCGAGGAAAGGACGACGGCGACGGGGGGGAGGAGAGGGACGAGGACGACCGCGAAGAGGAGGCGGAGAGAACGGAGGCCCCACCCGTGTCGCGGAGCAGCAGCGCGGGGCGAGACAACCCTGGTGGGGGGGGGGCTCCGAAGGCAGCTTCGCCAGGGCCAGCTTCGTCTTCGTCGCGTCCAGCTTCCTGCGCCCACTCCTGCCTCGTCTGCCCTTCCTCTGCCCCTCCTCTTCCTCGACGACGGCGATGACGCTGACGATGACGTCATCGTCATCGTCATCGTCATCGTCCTCGTCATCGTCACCATCTGCTCCTCCCAGCCTCCCTGTATGAGCAGCTCCTCCTCGTCGCACCGCCGCGCTGTGTCGGTTGTGGCGGGCGGGACGGCTCGCCTCACGACTTCCCCTCGCCGCTTCGGATCCCCGAAGCTCGAAGAGCTCAGCTCGCTCACGGTCGGAGGGCGGGTCGTCGTCAGCGCAGCGCACGCCGCAGCGCGGCGCACGCACGCCAGCAGAACCTGCAGCACTCACACGAAAGGGGGTGTCCGGTGGCTTCTCGCAAGGGGGCCATCGCCCGTGACTCCCTCCATTTGAGGGGGCCCAGGAACACACAACTAAATACACACATATCCCAGGGTTCCCCATATTTTCCAACATTTGTTGTATGTTCGTCTTCGTCACCACTTCCTACATTTTCCGATGTTTTCCTGGGGATCGACGATTCATTGTGTCTGTGTGTTGTTTCCCCTCCTGACCATTGTACGACTAGCTGTGCTGAGCCGGGGGTGGCGCGAAACATCGCGCACGGAACTGCAAACGCGCGAAGGGCGAATCGAGCAGCACGCAGCTGACGGCCGCCGTGCAGGGTGGACGCCGAACGGCGCGAAGCTGACAGCCCGCACTTTCAGAGTCAAGTACGATAGCGGAGTGCCAACACCCCCAAGGGCCACCTTGATCAAGAAGAGAGGGAGGAGGGGAGCAAGGGAGGAAGAGGAGGAGGAGGAGGAGGACCTGCTACCCACACATGGAGGGCGGACCCTTTTTCCATTATAGTGCTCTCGCCTGAGACTTATTTGACATGCTCTTCGCCAGATGCGTCCA